TAATGGATGTATGTGGAGATAACTCCACCACTGCTGAGTGACCAACCTGGCCCGTAAACCACGTGACTGCCACCTCCTCACCGTCACTACCGCTCCCTTTACCAACTCATGCCATTTCTGCCTGCCTTCTCATCTGCATTTATCTCATGCAGGTTGGGACCACCTCATCAGTATGATTTCCATCTTGATAGTGATATGTCTCTGAGAAATGACAAATAAACACAACAGTCCACAATTAGACTTCAGTTACCTCTCAGCTGTCTGAAATAATCAAGGTATTCACTTAGCACAAGAAGACCTCAGCTTCTGGATTATTTCTGACATAAAGAGGCTAGACTGGTAAAACACTAAAATTTATCTCAAAATGCATTAACTTGCAACAGACTTACAGAATACTGAAACAGAAAAAAAGCCAAAACAATGAACCATCTAGTAGGGTTAGTGAAATATCACACAAAACTGTATTGATCACATATTAAGTAGGTAGCTCTGAATTTCTACTAACAAAGCATTGATATAACAATTCAACTCAAAGGCATAAAACAGGGCAGAAAAACACAAAATATGTACAAAAATCTTGTGGTAAATGAATATGAGTTATATATTGATCAAATGTTGCTCCCAGGTATAGAGTTGTGTCAGGCCAATTGGCTATGAAAAAAAAAATGGAGACAAAAAAGAGAATAATTTTGGGCTTATAGAATCAGCTACAAATCAAGAGTACATGATCCTTTAATCAAGATAAACCAATGCTTTGAAGAATATTTTGGTTTCTGCCCAAGCTGTGACGAGAAGAGAAGAGAGAAGACAGGATGCAATTTGTGAACTTCGTGGGGGACACTGAAGGAATCAGTCACCAGGGAAACCCCACCTAGATGGAAAACGCTGCTCATTTTTCCCACTAGCTTGTTAAGACTCAAATCACTAAATGATATTCCTAGACCATATCCATCTTTTAGGGTCCTGACTCAAAATTTCCTAGCCTTGTAGAATCATACTGGAAGAAAATAATCTCTACTAACTTCTAAAATGTTGGGTAGGGCTCTGGTCAGCTTTGAGGTTTGCAGAATCACGTATGTGCTGCTCCTAGCAAGTGCTAGGCTTTTTTATGACTTGTCTCTGGTCTTCAAAGCAACCTTGCAGATAATAATAATAATACTACCCACATTTTCCAAACAGAGTTGCTTAAGACAATAGAGCACTTTGTTCTGTTCTCTCACCTCATTCATTTAGCAAGGAAAAAGGTGCTGAACCCAAATATTTCTGTATCCAGAACCGTGACCTCTCAACTGTACTTTCAAGTATGTGCTATTCAATGACAGATTCACTTATACTTCAGAGTCTGATTTTAGGAAACATTTTCTACAACCTGCACCCCAAGGTTGCAAAATAAGGCCGTGGCACAAATCCCAGGAGTTGTGGATCCTAAAACTTTCTCTTCCAGCAGTAACTGAGACCAAGAAACTCATGCAAGTTCATGTATCAAGGAAATAACAAAGTCAGAACTAGGATTTTAAAGCTTGGATGCAAATTTAAAGTTGAGCACTAGGCACGCCATGAAAATAAAATAAAAATGTTAATTTTATATTAAGGTAAATTATGAAATATATTTTTATAAGTAAAACTTTATGCTTTCATGTTAATCATCCATTGTGATTATTTATCTTAATATATAATTATAAGCTTTTACACAGATGCATTTTGAAATCAGCCCCACAACCGAATACATAACAGAAAAAAATATGTGGGAACTTGGTTTAAAAACATACAAAATAAATTTCACACTGAGCTCTAAAAGTAGGTTTCTGGAATAAACCAGAGTAGGCAGAAAACAGACAGCAGGAACAGTTATTTTAGAAAGAAAAGTAGGATAAATTTACCAAGCCAATCATGGGATGATGTACACAGATAAAAGATGCAGAGAAAGAACGTGAAACCCTGATACATGAATATATTCAAATGCAGAAAAGAGGAAGCCAGAAAGCACAATTGTCCTCAGTGTGAATAAACATTCAAATTATGCTGCAGCTGCAAAATTTAAACTCACGAAAGAGACATTTGCAAAGAAATTTATTAAATTGACGTGATTTCCTGGTTTAACATACCCAGTGGCTCTTTTTAAAGTAAAATGCACAATTCACCTTGATAAAAATGACATTTCCCACATTGAACTCAAACACCAAATGTCTTTTGTGAAAAATTCTGCTTATTAAACCGCACAATACTATTGATACTTAGACATCGAGGCTTTAAATAGATACAGTTAATTCACCTAACAAAGTATGTTATATATTGAGTGTAACCTTAAAAGAGCTTCCTTTGTGAAGAAAATCAATCTTTTATCACATGTCAGAGAAGTTTATTTGTAAGGAGTTAAATTCCTTGCTGAAAGCTATTCTTTGTTGCTAACCCTGTTCTCCATCCATCCATTCATCCACCCATCCATCCATCCATCCATCCATCCATCCATCCAACAAACATTTACGGGTCTCCAAAGTATATAACACCCCAAGGGGAATAAAGATCTATATAAAAGCTCACTGTTGGGAATTTTCTGATTTCAGATAATATCTGATCATAAAACTCAAATCCTATTTTTAAATGATCACATCTCCCCACAGAGGTGAAGTTGGTAAGGAAGCTGTTTTATCTCTCTTGACCCAGACATAACGCAGACATCCCAGTGCTACCTTGGATGTGGTTCTCTAAGTATGGCCTCTGGATCCATAGGCCCAGCTATACCTGTAAACTTGTTAGGATTACAAATTTTGGGGCTTCATTCTAGGATAATGTGTGTCTGAGAACCACAAACGCACAAGAGCATTCAAAAGCTTGCTAAAAAAGCAAAACAAAACAAAACGAAAACACATTTCCAGACAATGGGCCTACACTGCTGGTGAGGGAACTCCAGGAGTAAGCAACCTCAGAGCGGCAGCTTTGCCTGCAGTGTCTAGCTAAGGAGTCTGGACAGTGATGATCTGGTAACCGCAAGAATGCTTCTGAGCACAAAACAGGCATGTTAAGAGCTGTTGTTTGGAAGACTCTGAATTTAGGGAAACTAAGCAGGAAGCAATGGGAGATAATTGCATTGTTCAGGAGAGAAGAAAGAGTAAATTAATCCTTCTTTGGTGATTCAAGAATCTGTCATGCCTCAGGTTAACTGTGGCCCTTTACTCAGTTTGAATTCTGTGCTCAGGACAAGCTTTGTTCTGAGAAATCTCTCTCTATTGCCATGGGATTGATTCTCTTTAACCTGTGGTCTGATTTTGTCTATATTTTGGGTATTTCTGCTTTGCAATCTGCCACGACTTCCCTGGTTTCCCACCCGGTCACTTTCTGCTGCCCATCTTCCTCCGCCTGTCCATTTCCACTGCTTCACCAGAAAATTACATGCTAATACCTGTTTCTTTAGATGTCTGTTCATGTTCATTTCACTTTTAGTTTCGTTCCTTAGAGTTCACCAATTATATTCTACCTCTGAAGATGTAACGCTGGTCACAATGCAACTACAACGTTTGCCCAACTTTATTTTAATTTGCTTAAGCTTCTCATATTCAAAAAAGAAAACATAAATCTTGATTCTCTTTAAGATGCCAAATCTATTTTTCCAACTGATCAACCCATCTTACATTATGCCCAACCATGCAAAATTTCAGAAATGCTTTTCATACAAACAAAGCTTCTGCTCATGGAATTGTTTTCAATAGGAAATATGGTAACAATACAGTATAATAATGTTTTGTTGTGTATCCACACTTTCCTGTATATGGAACAATATACATAGATTAATAAATACAGAAATAACCAAGTGTTACTGTATCATTGCTAACTATTGCAAAAATGTTCAGCAAAATTCGAATCTTATTATATGATTTCTTATTTTTTAGGGTCCAAGATTAATGTCTCATTCTGCACACGGAAAATGAACTGATGAAAGAGTTAGTTTTGAAACCAGTCACGCTAGTTCCATTGTGCTTGGAGACAACTTTAAAACAAAAAATGATTTTTCAGAGGTATTCCATTTAGGAGGAAAATGTTATGTTTTAAGACAAAGTAAAAGGACCCTCCACTGCACCTGAGACTGACTTGGGATTTCAGCCACACCTGTGGGAAGAGTCATTTTTGTGTCCGCTTGGCTTCTCCTAGTGTCTTTTTGTGGAATGCAGGCTAGGACAGCCTGGATTTGTGGGGTCCACGCCCCTGGTGGCAAGCCACGGCAAAGGGGACTCAGTAGGGGCAAATCTCTTGCTTCAGGCAGAAATCCCAGAAGTCTGAGAAATCAAGCTCCTCCTGCCTACAGCAGGGTACTTGTTGACCCGTCCATATTCTGATCTGTGCTTCTCCCCCAATGCACTCTTTCTCCTTATAACTCTTGATCCTTGGGATCATCTTTGCAATAAAGTCATTGCTTTTATTGGACAAAAAACCCAAACAAAGACAATAATTTATTAATGTGTTCAGTTATATTAATTTCCTTCTGATCTGACATCTCTTACATACTACAGCTGATTAATACATTATTAAGAGCCTTCCCCCAGAGCAATTCCACAGAATGAAATGGAGTGGAGATCCTAGCGTGGATGGGTGGGTTTCCACCGACTCTGTAGTACTCTGAAGTCATGTTGAGTATATCGGTGTTGATACAAGCAACGTACAACGAGCTAAGAAAAAACAATACTATGCCCCCTATTTCATAATTCCACACTGAACCTAACATACAATATTTTGGTCTGCAGATGCAAGAAAGCGGCATTGGCCTGATGTTATTCTACATTAGCAGCAATAATGAAGATTAAACATGTAAATGACACTGGTCCAGGTTCTGCTCAAGTAATTAGAGAGTTAAAAATGAAACACACAGACTTTAAGCTCAACGGCCTAGAAGTACAAGCCAGAAATAATTTTGTTAAATATACCACAGTATTAACATTTGTTTCACAATGATGGCTGCAGATGCAATTGCAGAAATGTGTTACACAAAGGGAAAGAGTCAGCTTTACCTTTGATTATCAATTTTCCATTTTTCTTCTTCCAAGACAGAAAAATCCAGACTGCTGTATTTTTTTAGACCCGAAGTCACTCTTGGTGTGTGATGTTTAACTGTTCTGAAAGAAAACAATGAAATAAGTAGATGTAATGACTGATCTGAAACCAAAAGACACTTAAGAATGTTCTCGCAAACGTCGCAGTGGCAGCCATCAAATCCACCGCTGTGAAGTGAGAGCTTCATGGGAAACTCACACGGCAGTGTTTTGTAGGATATCACACTTTTTATTCTATGTCTCTCAGAAAATAAAATCAACTACAGAAACAAAGAAATTATGTCAGTGTAATAGGTTTGATATTCTACACATTTTTCTGCTATTGTCATTTATTTTTTCTTTGAAAGGCAAAAACATGCAAACATTGGTGAACTGATTTTGTAAGATACAGTGCACATACAGTACTGTGTTCACTTCATGTGCATTGCTTTTATTTTATTAATACTGCAACCAGGCAACTGTCATTTTCCCAGTGTGGTTCTCTTTATGTCACAAGAGAATCCAGTCCCTGTGCTACTATACACTTGCTAGTATCTCAGTCAAACATTCGTTCCTATTAATGATGATTTCTTAGGAAAGAGACAAAACAGAACCAACAACTGGACCCACACTTGTGTGAGAGGCAAGTGTTTCAGAAAACTCCTATATGGTATACTGAGGGATGCTTTTTCTCTCTGAAAGATCACAAACACAAACAACCTGGTGATATTTGTCCTTGAGAGTGGGGATGGAATCCAAGGCCTGTTCAGAGTTTCATCCTCAGGCCTTTGTAATTTTTGTTTTTCTTATGAGACAGGGTATCATTAAGTTGCCCGGGCTATGACAAACTTGTTATCCTCCTGCCTCAGCCTCCCAGTTATTTCTTTTCAAGCAATCTAATTTTGTGGACCTTTGTACGTAAACAGTATTTTCAGACAAGAATGAGAGGAATAGCACATCAAAGTAATAAGCACATATGTGGTCAGAAGAGTTTGAGGCCAGAAGCGATGCTGTGCCTTCACTGACTTAAGACAGTTGCCAGACACAGGCAGAACCACGGCCCAGATCCTCTAACTGCAAGGCCAGTGCTTTAGAAACTCAGATCTTTCATCTCTAAAGAGAACACCAGACACTGAAAGAGTTCCAGGCCAGCCAAACCCCATGCAGGACGTGTGAAAGCACTGTTTCCAGACGGGCAAGGCTGACGGGTATTAGTCTGTGGGTGGTGAAATGAAAGAAAAGCAGTAGCAACAGCACTGCGTATTTGCACGGCACTTGTAAGCAGGCCTGGAATACTATATCATATATAGCATGGCAATTACTGTATAATTACTATATATTTTATGTATGTCTTATTCATTCATGCTACAGAAGACAAAAGTGAGCTTCTCCCTTATCAAAACTTCTCAGTTATAATTTAAAGGTTGTAAGCTTAGATTTCTATGATTATCCCATCAAATATTCTCAAAATTCCAGTAAACCAGACAGAGCCTAAAAAAGGAAGCCTGCCTTCCCCACACAGCAGATGAGAGATAACAAGCAACTATTAATTGTTTCAATATAGAGAACTGATCCCTTATTTATTCATATTTGTTGAGAAATTATTTTATACTAGTGTTTTAATTTTCTGAAGAAACAAAATAGGAACACTGTGTAGAATTTGTAATGTATATTATGCATATTAATTTTGCAAAACATTGAGTTTCCCTGTGGTATTTTCACGTAGGCATATAGTGCATTTTGATCATACATTGGCAGTGAACTTCAGGAATCAAACCATCTTCCTCCTTCTGGCTTCTGAGTAGCTGGGATCCCAGGCCCGACCCACTGAGCCCAGCAATGCAAGATACTTTAACTTTTTTAGATTATTCCCAGGTAACTCAGGAGAACCTGAATTTTGAAAAAGCTTCCAGATAATTCTCCTGGTCCAGCAGGTTGGAAGCTTGTTCATCTTGTTCAACCTTCTTATTAGATAGTTGAGGAATCTGAGACCAGAGAAGTGACTTCATCAAGTCATTTCCTGCTTGGTGACAGACTTGAGATTAGAAAGTGGGAATCCTACAAACATGGGTGCACATGGGCTGCCATAATGTGATGTCTTTAATGCTTCTGGGAAGAGACCTAGCAGGGGAATAGCTGGGCCGAATGGAATTTCTAGCTGTGGTCTTCTGAGAAATCTCCATATTCATGTCCGTAGCTGTACTAGTTTACATCCCTTCCAACAGATAGAAGGGCTCCTTTCCCCTGTAGCTTCACCAGCATGTTATTATTTGATTTCTTGATGATGGCCATTCTTTCTGAAATGAAATGAGATCTCAGTGTTGTTTTTATTTGAATTTCTTGAATTCCCATATTTACAGTAGCACAATTCATAATTGCTAAATCTTGAAAGTAGCCTATATGTCTATCCACAGATGAAAGGATAAAGGAAATGTGGTACTGATACACCAGGGAGTACTATTCTGCCATGGAGATAAACTTGAGTCATTTTTAGGAGGTAGATACTCCTTGAGACTATCATGTTAAGAAACCAGACCTATAAGCTTAAATACCATAGGCTTTCTCTTAAATGACAACTCCAAAGTTTAAATAAATTGCCAAATAAAAGATAGGTAATAGGAAGTAGAGAAATTGATCTTTCTCAAGGGGGAAGGAGATCATGAGATGGAGAGGGGAAGGAAGGAAGGGAAACAGGATGAAAAGAGGAGTCAAGTTGTGTTAGGTACACATACCAATTCCCTGCAAGGAATGTACACATTACAGTCTACAAACATGTACCAAAACATACTGCAGAACGTCTGATTCTCTGGCATTTTCTCTTCAATTTCCTTATCCTAACATTCTCCCTTTCATTTTCTCTTGCTTTTTCCTATCATCGGGTAACAACAGAGAAAGAACAGTAGAGGAACAACAACAGTAATTATTCGAGTGTCAGAGGTGTCGGCTAGGTCTTCTCACTAGTAACCTCAGGAAAGGGAAGAAACGGGAGCTGGGACTTTACCACTTGGCACCCCAGTGTGCCTTCCCCTGGCCTCTGTCTTCCAGAGTGGGCCATTTTTGGGGTGCCTGCACAGCGCCCCCTGGGGCTCCATTTCCCACCACCCGGAGTTGTTGTGCTCATTCCTGGTCTTCATGGATGCACCAGGAGAGCTCCTCCACCCGCACAGCTCCCACAGTTTAGGGTGGAGACCTCCCCATTCATTTTCCTCTTGTCCTTTCTTCCTTGAGATCATCTGTCATTAAACCAGCCACACGAGCTTAACTATCATAAAGGTTTTTCTCCCAAGAGAAAGTCAAAGTATAAATAAATTTAAGACCAAAATAAAGGGCCATCAGAAATGGGGAGATAGGTCTTTAGCACATGGGAAGTGAATCAAGAGACTTTGAGATTGGGAAGTAGGGAAATGGGAAGGGAACAATAAAATGAATTAAGACGCATTAGGTACATGCAACCACCTGCCCAAAATGAACATATTCATTACTCACCATAAACATGTACCAGTAAAAACATCTTTAAAGGTTTTTAATTAATATTTTGGCTTAAACTAACTCAAGCTGGTTGTTTTTCTCATTAGAGTCCACGCTTGTTTACCTTACACACTCTTTCTAGTTACTCTGGTTACAGTACCGTAAGAAGCTCACTGGAAATCTATCTACTGAAAGCGCAGAAAAAGAATACAAACCATGAACGTACTGCATTTTTTGATATCTATGTTCTCATAAAGTATACGTTTTGACATGTAACAAAGTAGAAAAGGTCAAGATCACAGAATTACCTTTCCATCTTAGTTCAGATTCTACAAGGTTTCTGACTTGTTAGGGTTGGCCATTGTGATTTTTGATATCGTGACTGTGAACTTGCCTGGTCTAGGAGGTGCCTACCAGATTAGTGAAGTGCAGTTCTGGGTGTGTCTGTGGGCTGTTTCCAGAGCTGACTGATGCACAGTCCTGGCAGCTGATGAAGGGATCCCACCATAGGCAGTGCCATCCACTAGGCCTGCAGCCTAGGAGGAACAAAAGGGGAAGAAGGAGGAACTTTGGAAAGTTCCATTTGGCTTGAGCGGGTGCACATTAGACCTCAGCTTCTTCAGTCTTTCAGTGTGGACTCACATCTGTGACTCTCCAGGCGACTTCCAGGTTTTCAATCTCAGACTGGAGCTGCATCCTTCAGCCCTCTTGTTCTTTGGCTTCCAGCTTCTTGACTGAGTGGCCACTGGATCCCCTGGCTTTCCAACCATGGTGGCCTCTCCTTGCTCTGATGCTGCCCTTGGGTTTCAATGTGTGTTTGTTAACTACCTCCTGATGGAGCGTAGGCTGGTTAAGTGAGGGAGAAGTGAAACATCATTTGCCTACTGACTCATTTATTCATTCACCTCATGATCTCACAAAGACCTACTGAGCATCCATAATATGCCACGCACTAGTTAGGGGCCATGAATATATCAGCCAATGTTTCATTTCAGTGGAAAAGACAAAACAAAGCACAAATCAGAAGCATGTGAAGCAGTGAAGTACAGAATAGTTTAGAACATGAAACATGTTCCAGACATTGGAAAAGTTGACCAAGGTAAGGGCATCAGAAGTGTTCTTTGTGGGTATGTGAGGATGGAGGGGGTCCTACTATGGCTTTGGACATGGCTTGAGTGTTTCCTCCCAAGGGATTATAGATTGGAAACTTGGTCTCCCTTGCAGCAATGTTAAGAGATGGTGGAGCCTCTAAAAGGTGGATCCCTGTGGAAGTTCATTAGGTCATTTGGAGGAGCAGACTCACAAGTCATTAATATAGTTACCCTGGAACCCTTGTTTGTTCTCCTGGGAAGGACGTCCAGCTTCCTGTCTTTTGCCATGTGACCTCCTCATATTGCACATAATCCCACCACCGTGATGCCACCACCGTGATGCCACTGTGAAGGCCACTTGGAAGCTCAGAGGTTATCTGGAGAGACAACAGCACCTCAGCCTCATGGGCAGTGGCCAGATCCATGCCGGACTTATCATGAGCCAAGAGCCAACAGGGAGTCCAGATGGGCTGGATGGCAGGGGTGGAAAAGAAGGGGCAGAGGATGATCCCAAGATTTATAGTT